GACTGTGAACTAAACAGAAAGAAAGCGGTTAGTGGACAATAGATATTCTCGTCGGGAAATGCTTACCGGGGATGTATATTATTTCGTCCCAGACAGGGTTCAAATCTAGAACCAAGTTGGGTATCTGTGCTGCCCAAGGACGCAAAAGAACGCACTGTTATTCATAACCTCTGTTCTGCCTTTCGTGACGTTGTTGACTTGCACACGCACGTACGGGTCGCTCTGCGAACCAGGGAGTAAGTAAGCCTCGGATAGTCAAGGGTTATTGCGAATTATTTACCTTGCCACCGAGGGTAGCTTCGACGTTCCTACACTCGAATCAGCTAACCGTCGACAGTAGATTGGACGAAGAACAAACTTGACATCCACCGCTTTGTCCAAATGAAGTCGAACGACTCCAATGGGAGGCTTGTACTGATCGGCGCCGTGCAGGCTGCCGGCCATGTTCAGCGGCTTCCACTCGGCCGACAGCCGGATCTTGCCACTCTTGCAGTTGCTGAGAGGGAACCAGTCACGACCCGCCTCTGTCTTGCTCTCCAGCAGGTCCTCCAGCTTGATCGACATGTACCCAACCACCGGGTCCTTGAGGAACTCGCGGTCGTCGATGACCTTGACCAAGATGACCGAAGCCGCCTTGTCCGCGCAGAGGAACTCGTACGCCTGCTCCCAGACAGGAGCATTGGTGTGCTTGAAGAGCCGCGTGCTGAAGACCTCAGTCTTGCCGTCGCCTAGGTAGAGTCTCGCGAGAGGGTTGAGGTCACCGGAGAGGGATTTGCTTTGATCGAGCTCCTTTGCTTGGTGGAGCGTCACGCGCACGATACCGACGCCTATCGAAAATCAAAGATAAGTATACCGCGGGGCAAGGGCTCTGCTTACTCGTATTGGGTATATCCTTGCCCTCCTCGGGCTTGATGACGGGGTAATAGGATATACCGTATCGCAAGGTGCCACGTTCTTTGCCGTCCTTGAGTAATGGGGCCTCTATGCCTTCCCGGGTGGCATCGTCAGCGAGCGGGGCAAGCTCGAAGCTGGTGCTACTGAGCAGCGCGTTTTTGCGGTGCTCATTGTAGTCGTACAAACTCAAGACCAGAGACTCGGTGAGTGAATTAACAAGGATGAACTTGGTCTCCATCCAAGTTGGGTTGTAGCTGGCGAGACGATTAGTAGAGGAAGCTTGTACCGGGCCGAGAACATACGTATTGTTCTTGTACTTGGTGACGGCCAACTCCTCGCGGTTGTTCAAGCTCAACGAGATGTACGGATCAGGGGTTCCACCGCCGACCTTGGTACCCGTTATTCCGCGTGCAGACTCGACTGCCACTTGAATAACACCGATGGCCGTATCCAGGGGGGCGCCAGAGAGCAGCTGTTCGAGGTTCAAGGTAAATACGTTGGGGTCGTACATTATGGGTGCCAGAGTAGCGTGCGTCATGTCGCGGATGAATGTTGATAAACCCGGAATCTGAGAATACATTAGTGGAGGAAGGGGCAGCGCGAGAAGAAGGAAACATACGTGGCCGATATCGAAACCGAAAGTCTCTCCTCCGACAGGCTTGAGGACATAGTCAATTACGGGCTTTTCCAGGAAACAGATGTCGACGATTTGGACGTGAGGGAAGTTGGACATGAGCTTCATACGAATTCGCATCAAGCCGCTGAAGGTGATATCCTCGAGGAGAATGGGCATGGACGCAGTTGCGAGACCCTTTCCTACGCGCACAGACAGCACGATCTTCGGGTTGACCTTATTCGCGGCTTGCCGCGGCGTGAGGTCAGATACATCGTTCGGGGTGAAGGAGATGCCCCAATCCATCATGACGACATCGTCGGGTGTTTTGGGGAAAGTGCGGACTTTGTCGATGCGGGGGGCTTTCGTTCCAAGCGTAAATTGAGTCAAGCGAAGAGAATCAAGGAATGCGGGGGTGTTGGTGGATAGGATCTGGTCAACACTCGAAATGATGGTGGCGGACAGGACTGGCTCGTAGATGAGCCAGAAGCGGTCTAAAAAGTTGTTTATCCAATCTGCGGACTCGTGTTCGGACAACAACCGATTTTTGACGAGTTCGCGTTGGATATCATCGCGGGCGCGACGGCGGACGCGTTCCATCGACGTGCTGTAGTATGTATTGCAAACGGCTAGGATGATGAAGAGCCATCCCCAGCCGAAGTTGAAGCGGGTTAAAAAATGCGAAGCGAACACAGCCTGCGTGTCTGTGAGTCTAAAATCACGGAGCAGTGGCGTGGACCTACGAAGACGATGAGGGCGGCGTTGTGGTACCAGGCGCCGTAGAACTGCTCTCCCAGGAACATATGCAGCACACCCTGATCTTGTTCCTCGCCCTCGGCGTGCGGCGCAGCATCAATGCGTGAGGCCTGGCGCCACCCAACACGATACCAGTCTGGGATCGCGCTGGCCGCGGGGCCAAGGGCACCAGGTGGTTGGGGCGTGTCCTCATGTTCATGGGAAGGCTCTGGAGACTTTTCCCCGTCCATGTCTTCCACGGTGATTGTGGGGACCACATCTGACTTTCCGGTCTCTACCGTAAGTTCTAGGAAGGACCTGAGCACCCAGCGAGAGGGATAGAGAGGATAGAGAGTACCTCGTGCACCGGGACCCGAGTCGTTGTTCACGCTCTTGAGCTGGTCTCTTGCCTTGCCTGCTGCTGCGCCCTTTTGCTCTGGCGAAGCTTCAGGGTCAAAGGAATGGACTGCGACGCGTCCATTGGCCGAGTCTTGCATGATAGCATCTGCCTGTTTGTTGGCTTCGCCATTTGTAGTGGTGGCCATGGTGGGGAAGAAAGACCACAGGTAAGTTAAGCAGGGAGTTAAATTTATACGTCAGTGATGGTGACGTAGTGGTGCAAACGTGGTGGAACTTGCTACATAAACGTACACTTAATAGCTCTGGGGTATTTACTAGGTGTGGAGCAAGGGTTGGATTAAGAAAACAAATTAAGAAAATATGTAAAGTGATGCTTGTACATGTTTAGCATTAGCCTTGCTCGTTTAATGCCCTCATCATGACTTCCTCGTCTGCCTCTCTCCGGGGCCTTTACAGCGACCCTTCTTCTGCCTGGTCATTCGTTCAGTCACTCCCAGCTACCGCCTCAAATTCTACGGTACCTGCCCAGTCTACTTCGGCACCTGCGTACCAATGGTCCTCTCGGCCGTCCCACAACTCCATATTTGACCTCTCGCCCGAACTCGCGGACCCGTCAGACGGAATAGATCCCATACATCTCCTCAAGACCTTGGCTGCATCCGTCATCTTGCAATATACAAGTAGTGCCATTGCAATGCCATGGGAGGTTGGCAAATTGCTCCTTCAAGTCCAATGGGTCCCGCGGGATGCAGGCGAGCCCGACTCGACGGAACTCCCCGACGATGACGAAGACGACGCGGTTGGTCGTTACTCATCACATTTGTCACTTACTCATCGGTCGTAGTTGAGCGACTCGTCCAATGACAACGACTCGTACTTTGCAGATCCAAATGCCACCCCGCAAGCCGGCTTTCCTACGCTGCGACCGACGGACGAGCAGGGCTACGTCGCCCGTCGCTCTGTACTCGAAGAAAGTACCCGTCCCGAATATATCATCCCGGTGGGCAGCGCAAATGGCGTTTGGGGTATGATGAGACGTGTTGGGCGTTTCCGGGGGGAAGGCTGGCTGGCATTGTGGAAAGGTACTAAAAACTTCTTCATCCTTGATATTTTTCCTACTTTATCGTCTCCCAGGGTTATTAACGTCCTGCATAACCGAAGTTCTTTCATCAACTTTCCAACCGATGATTCGGGGTCTGCTGCAGGCCCTCTTACTTCCAACCAGCCCCGTCTTTCACCACCCCCCAATGTTCCTCCCCGTTCTCTCCCATCTCATCATGGGCTTTATTCTCTCCCCACTCGACCTTGTGCGCACCCGCCTTATCGTCCAGTCCTTTTCGTCGCGCCACCTCACATACAAGGGTCCCTTTGATGCCCTTTCCCGCATCCTCCGCGAGGAGGGCGGGCTCAAGGGCATCTACCTCCATCCGCACCTCCTCATCCCCACCATCATCGACAACCTGCTCCCCCCAATTGTCTCGTTCGTCCTCCCGGGCATGCTCGCGTCCTACATCGGCGCTCAAATCACCGAGGACGCCAACCCCATCGCATGGGGCTTTGCCGAGCTTGCGGGCAGCTGCCTTGGCCTGCTCATCACGCTTCCCTTCGAGACCGTCCGCCGACGGCTGCAGGTCCAGGTGCGCGGCATCGCAAAACCGATCAAGGGCTGCGTTGAGCTGCGGCCGGTGCCGTACAACGGCGTCGTCGACACGTTCTGGCACGTCCTGACCGAGGAACGGTCGGACCTGCCCATCCCCGCGCAGAAGCGGAAACGACGTCTGAGTAAAGGGAAGGAGCGCGCGGGCGGGGAGGACAGGCCTGCGCAGGACCCTGAGGGGCAGAGCTGGATGAAAAGCACCGGTATCGGGCAGTTGTACCGTGGGCTTGGGATGCGGCTGGGCGCGAGCATTATCATGTTTGGCCTGGCCTTGTTTAGTGGCGACGAGTCGGATGGAGGGTGGGCTGAGCTTTAGCGTCTTTTAACAATACCGAAATGACAATCCTTCTCATCTCTTTGCAATCGGTTGTGAAACATTCGGTCACCTGTGCCTTGGCAACAATGAGAGAAGACTGATCGATTCAGTGGCTGTGCTCGTCTATCAGACAACTTACACTCAGAAGTATAAAATAACACGCACTTTGCTCACACCGCATCCACTACTTTCAAGGGAAAGGAGATCAGTTCTGCCAACATATATACTTAAGAGGTCTAAGCTTTTCTCTTAACCTAGGCTTTGCTAGTGGTACTGTAACAGAGACATAGGAGACATCTTATAAGTGGCGATCGCGACCTTCGCAACGTCCAACGTCGAGAACAGCCAGTGTGTTGTTGAAAAATGTAGCCAGGTACCAGGATATAATCGGTGCGAGATAAATCAGGGTCATCCGCAAAAACCAAAGGTCGATCCCGGGTTCGAACCGGGGTTCCGAGAAAATTAGAAGTTATGTGATTTCAAAATCTCGAGTGATGACCACTACACTAATCGACCGTCGTGGAGCAATGTAAGGGGGCATAGGGATGTTGCTGAGTGTATGTATGGGCTAGGCAAGTTCTCTCCGAAGGAGTCCGAGTCGCATTAGGTAATCCGTAACGCGTCCGGCATGCGGCATCTTCAACTTGCGACATTAGACCTCACTGACAGAGGAGAACGGCCCTCGCAAAGATCCGATCTGGTTATGCAGACGGAAGTGGTCGAAAATCTCAGTAATATGCCCACAGGGCATGAGGTCGAGTGGACCAGTCCGTGATGGACACCGCTGATCTCCGTCGCCAAAACCAGCGATCACCATCGGCCTCGGGCCTCGGCTGACTGAACCAACAAAATGCCAACCCTTTGTGGAGGTCATGAGTTCGAACCCCGCAGTGGCCCCGAATATTATGTATTCTGGTTTGCGCACATGAGGTCGACCAGGCTCCTGGGTCCTTGTTTGGTCAATGCACACCACCTCTGTGGCCAGCAGGCTTCTGACAGAGTCGAAGCAGTGCAGATGTTTAAATTCCTGGGGGTTAGACACCCAGGGTCGGCATTTTGTTGGTTCCATCCAGGCCATCCCAACCGTACAGCTGAAGAAAACTGGCAGCCCCAAGACAAAACACCGACTGGTTTTTGGCTGGTGCAAGAAACCACCAGTACTCAATGGTTTTTTTTACTATGTTCAAAGCCAGCGGTTTTCCACTCCTGAACAGAGCCACTGGTTTCAGATGGTTCTCAGTTCCAATGACCACCGGCTTTTCCCTCCCACCAAGACCGTTAACAGCCAGTGATTCCCTATACTTTCTAGAACCACCAGTTTTTACCCTTGTACAAATACTGTTCTTAAGTTTTGAATAGGCTAGACATATGTATCTGTGTCAACAAAACCCATTCAGAACCGGTGGTTTTGGTCCACTTTTGAAAACCGATGATTCTAGTCAACTTTTGAAAACTGTTGGTTTTGCCCAGCCTTGAAGTTGTAAAACCAGTGGTTTGGTCAGCTTAAGAAAACCGCGGGTTTTCCTCCTTCATAACTTTTTGAAACTGCTGGTTCTGGTCAACGTTTGAAAACCACTGGTTTTACCTAGCCTTCTAAAACCGGTGGTTTTGGTCAGCTTCAGAAAGAGCCGCTGGAGTAGATAGGAGTTGATTCAAACATGTGCAAAACCACTATCTAATCATCGGTCACCTATGGTAACTGACAGCCACCAACAACCGGCAGTGACCGGGACACATGCAAGCATATAACTCGAAAATCTTAGCCACTTTTCAACCTTTTCGAACTGAACAAGAAACACACAAATCCATGATCAGAAAGCATGGGAAAACTTTTTAAATACGGACGGAACCGGGCATGTCCGGATTGGGCCTGTTGGAGGATAAGCTGCTTTCTTACTGACAGACAGCACGTCCCAGCGGAAAACCAACAGAGAAGACAACCAGTTTAAGCCTTCTATTACACAAAGTGTTGGTCTAAAACGCATGAAAAATTACACTCTAATCAAACCCGGCTTTCCTGTTCTATGCATTAACACCCATGTCTTCAACACGAGTTCGCAAAGACACGGCGGATACAGAGTTCCAGGGTTTGAAGGGGACACGGTGGATTCCGAGACTTCACATGAAAAAGCATGTGATTTATCACGTGATTTCCTGTGGCTGTGACCATCCTCTTTTCATATATAGGACAAGCTTTACGACCCGTGCCTTCGGCATAGACACTCGCTGCGCTCGGTCCATACCTATGTTCTGGGATTGATAGCTTGTTGGGGCTCCACCCCAAACTGGGGGTGGCTCTGCTGAATCTCAGCAGTGTCACTCAAAGTAAAAAAAGCATAGATTCTCCAGCACGTAAACTATTTAATTGGGACACTACTGGAAATAGGCATTAGTTGAGCTTTATGTTGGTTTGCACATGAGACTTACAAATAATCAAAGCAGTACTTCTGGGTATACAATATTCTTTGTGACAGTGGTGTTGAGCTCGAATGGAGGCTTAATGCATTGGCTGGAAGTGCACCGAGACAGGGCCACATATAACTGTCCATGAACAAAGACATCTGTGCGAAATCCAGTGAACATTAGCCCTGGGATTTATTTATGGTCATGGAAAATGCAAGGTGAACAGGGAATTGACAATGCTTGATGGAAAAGGCAAGCTGTTCTGGAGTGGGAATAATTGTGATACGTGGAATAAATGCTGTTTTCCAATCATGCTCCCTACCAATAAGCTGGATCTCTAAGACATGGGCTGACATTTTGGTCAAAATCCCTTGAGAGCCATTGCACAGACCATTTGCAGGATCAAGGTTTTGAGGGACCATGATCAATTTTGCAAGTGGCAACCCCGATGCCTTGATTGAATTGAGGTACTCAATGGGGTATCGGAAACCACTGTCAACTCCTTGCTCTGTCACCATAGAATCAGCACTCTAAATGACTCTTTCCTCCCCAGGAAATTTGTCAAGCAGTATTTGATTGATTCCACACCATCATTGTGTGCTGAGAGAATTGTGTGCTCAAGAAAATATTTGTCCTGCTGCCATTCCGTTAGGAACAGATATGCCTGTGTCAATAAGGGATTGAACAGTATTTTCTGGGAGCTTCATAAAAGCTGGAAGGACAATATTCTGTGCTGCATTGGTATTTCTTCCATGACCAACTTCAAGGAGCGATTTAGCAAAATCCTTCTCATGTTCTGGGCAGGTGAAGTATTTCAGCCTTCTGCCATAGTAGCTGAGGCCCTGATCGGGTGCTCTGCCTAGCGAGGCAGACCCTGCCAAAACATAGGCGGATGCCTACGCTCGGCTCTGCTTCGTCTTGGCGTGATTCGGCCCTTGTCACCTGGGCCTAGATCTATCATTTTGGATCTTTCCTTGGCGACCATCAACCACCCTTCCTCATCGTCTCCTGCTCATTCCCGCCTCACCCTGCCGCCCCCGCCATACTTCAAACTGTTGATAACAATGGTTCGAGGAAATGTTTCAGATAAAATACAGATGTGATGATACTAAGTACTGCTTAGGATGATGTTTACACAAAAGTGCCTTAAATCCAAGTACTTTTGAAACTCACTGATGCTTGTCGTGATCAGGGACAATGAGCAGACATTCTTGTCCGTTGCGAAATATTGTTGCCAAAGATGTCTATCGGTGACCGGATGCAATCGAACCGGAGTGACTGATGTGACTGATGTAGCCAGAAGGCAGCTGCCTTCGCTACACGCCTATCCGATCGAAACCCAGGAACCAGCGGGATTTGAGGATCACTGATGACAGTTGGCCAGCGGGTGTCAGCCGATGGAATGCCTCTGGTTTCCAGGCGCCAAGTAGATTAGATGCTGCCGGAATCTGGATCACTGGATTCCAGTGGTTGCAAGCTGGTGGCTGATGCGAGTGTCGGGCCATCATGATGGGTGCACTTCCTGCATTTGGAGCACACCAATTGGTAAGGCATGTACCAAGCATGTACACAAGTCCAGACTACAGACAAATCTCCTCTATGCACAGAATGGTAATGCTAAGGTTTAATGGCTGCAGAATTTCCTGAGACTTAGCACCCAGGGAGCAGGATATCGCTGGAGAGACCGCACTGTTGGACTTAGGCTTGACTTAGGCACAAGAATATTAAAGGCAGGCAGGATGCCTGACTGACCATGAGTATACAGTTGTGCTCAACCATATTGGCACTTTAGTCTAGGTGGTTTGATGCTTCTTGTGTTTCTTACCTACTCTTTTATGCCAGGGTTCGAACCTTATTGCTCTCATTTGTTTTACAAATTGCTCTCACTTAGGCCCAGACCCACCCAGCGAAAGCCAGTGGGTGTATCTCTCGCCACCAGTGGCGTACTTGGCTCCTGGAAACCAATGGTTCACAGCTGGAAACCAGTGGCTGATCGGGAGCCTGGTTCCCGGGTTTCAATTGTATGGGTGTGTAGGCAGGGCACCCGATCGGGTCCTGAGACCGTTGAAGACACAGTCTGACAATCTGTTCCCTTCCACCTTTCACAGCCACAGGGAGAATCTGTTGAAAGTTGCCACCATAGACCACCATGGTTCCACCATATGGCTGTGGATCATTGGGAATATCTTGTATTGTCTTGTCCACAGCCTCTTGGTCGTGTCGATCTTGCAATGGAACTTCATCCCAAATAATCAGGTGGATCTGCCAGAGTAGCTCTCCAAGCATTGTGCCCTTTTTAACATTACTATTTGCAAAACAACATGGCTTACAGAGGGATGGACACAAATCAATGTTGATCAAGAAGGAACTGAGCAGAAGGGCCACAAAAAAGAAAACACTGAAAGGAAAATTGCAGTACATCAGACAGATAAACACAAAAGTGATGGCAATATTACAATACTACATTCAAGCTTCAAAACACACAGTAAGAATAGAGGAAATACTGGCACTTTACAGGATCATAACTGGAGGACAGGTGAGAGGAGAAGAGGGTCCTATCAGATTAGTTTGACATCTTTGCAGCATGGTTGAACCGCTGCTCTTCACATCGGGGCCGAAAAAGCTGCTCACGTGAAGCAGCACGTGACTTATCACCTAATTTTCTGTGGCTGTGACCATCCTCTCTTTTTTTTTTTTTTTTTTTTTTTTTTTTGGTGGTACATTAGCCGGTAGCAATTAACAATAGGTTAACCCGACCGGGACCATCCTCTCTTCATATATAGGACTAGCTTTAACACCCGTGTCTTCGACGCGAGAGTTCACAAAGACATGGCAGATACAGAGTTCCGGGCTTTGAAGGGGACACGGCAGATTCCGAGAGCTCACATGCAAACCATGTGACTTTATCACCTGATTTCTGTGGCTGTGACCGAGCTCTCTTTATGTTTAGGATAGGATATATATAAATAATATAATATAATGGCAAAGCTACAGAAGTTTCTGATGTTCCATTTTCCCACTCTCGCTGTCAGCACCGAGCACCCAATAAGCGCCCACCCACGGGCATCTCGGATGGCGTGCGACAATGTGTGAGGTTTATTGCAGCATATCTT